TCCAGTCCTGCAGGCCAGCTGCCTCCAGGGTGGTGAGGGCCAGCATGAACAATAGCCGGTCACCTGGTCCCCATGGGACTCTGAAGTGGTCTGCTCCCCTCCTCTGTGCCTTCCCTCTGTCCTGTGGAGCTGCCTGAACACATACTTTCCAACCTCATTCTCATGCTGTTTTCGCGAACCCAGGGCCGCCTTCTATCCTAGATTCCAAACCATGACAGCATGGTCCTGCCCCCCTCTCAGGCTCCCAGGGCCAGGAGGCAAGAAGGAGGCTCCTCCTGAGTCCAAGTTCTTCACTCCCCGACCCCCCACCCTCCACCACTGACCTAAGAAGAAACAGGATAGAGGAGGCCAGTCTCAAATCAGGACTTAAAAGCTGGGTTATAGCCACACACATCTTAATTGGTGCATTTCTATTTTCTCTGTGGGCACTCTCCCTTTCTGATGGACTCTTACAAACATTTTACTGTTACATTTCTTGTAATACTGCCTGGAATCATTATTTAGAGATCATAAAAGAAATCATTATATTTTTAAAAGGAAGACTGAGAAGTTCCTACAAAAGGAAGTACAAAAAGCTCGGACACACACATCCCCCATCACACAAGCTGATCCACACAAAAATACAAACACATGCAAGTTTGGTCTGAAAACAGTTCGTCACTGCATAACACTTTGCAAAACAGAAGTGAATGAATAATTTATAGGGCTTTTTACAAATATCTAGATTTTCAAATCATTCTAGAAAAATCTGTTTCGATTACTTACAGCTCGGTGATAAATTAAAACAACCAGAAATGGTTACCAATAAGTAAAATTTACAATCCCAATGGGCCTGCCTTCCACAGAATTGCATCACAAACATTAACATCTTTTATTTTAAAACACACCAGAACCCACAAAACTGTTGCTCTCACTAACTGAAGGCACTGTATGTGATAAATCCCTGAACTCTTTACTTTGAAAAGGCTCCTGACTTATTGTGCAGATGCTGCTTCCCATCTTATTCTGGCAAGAACTTCATTATACTAGGCTGTGCTGCCAGTTCCAAAAGAGCGGCACCTGAACTGAGATCATACACGCCTAGTTGTTTGGACACCCAGAGATGCCGGAGCGTGCTTAAGGAGGCTGGGGGTTGGAGGAGCTGGTTGGAAGGGCCCACATACCACCCCACCACCTTGGATCTGTCCCCTAACCATACTTACCAATGACAGGCTGATGTGACACCTGGCTGATGCTAGGGTCTATAGCACGAGTCCCTTGACAAACAAACATAATGGCTGCAGAAAGTGGCAATTTATCAGTTGCTGTGGGGGTAATTTATCTCAATCACCATGCCTGTTGTTGGCTTAGTGGTAATTGGCTCAGCATTTTGTGCCAACAAAGGCTCCACGGTCCTCTTTTCTTGCCAGTCAGCACTCACAGTGGGGAGAAAGACAGAAGACAGCACTGGCACCAGGGCAAGCATGGGTTGCCGTGGGCCTGCTGGCTGTCAGCGGCTCTTCCAGGGATCTTGGAGGCCACAACAATGGCAAGAAGGGAGGTGCGGGGGCTTTTCTATCACTGAAGTAAAGTATGTCAAATCCTGTCTTAGGACAAGTATATTCAATTGTTTTTAACTTGCTTGAAAACTGGTTATCTTGGGAAACTCTGTCTCTGAGTAACTCTGGGCATTTGATAACCAGAATACACAGCACCAGGCTGTCAGGTTTATGACCAACTACAGAACAAGGCCCACTTGGTTCTCTGACTGCTGTGGCCCCTATGTCTGGTTTCTTCTACTGGAGAGAAACCTCCTGTGGAGAGGGGTATTCCTGAATCTCTCTGAAGTCCAGCATGCAGGTGCCACCTGTGCACACAGACCTCCTACTCAGCTCATTTCCCTCCCCCTCCAGCCAGTCCCTGCTGCTCCCCACTTCTGCCAAAGCCTGAACCTCCACCTTCTGTCTTGACATCCTCCCAGCCACCCAAATCTCCCTTCCCTGAAGATCCAGTCAGAGCCCTTGGGCACTTAAGACACCTTTCAGCCCCACAGCCATCTTTCCCCACTCTGAATGTACTGGCAGCTGTGCTCGCGGGTGGATGTGGTCGGGCAGACCCGGATATGGATTCAGGTTCAGCCACGTACCAGCAGTGTGACCTTGGGCAGGTTACTTTCTTCTCTGTTCTGATGACTGAGTAAAACAGTAAACACAAAATCACCGCAAAACACATCTTAGAACTACTCTTGTTTATCCATTTCCTGTAACTCACTGCATGTGCCTAGACTCCCACCCTGGCCCCAAAGCCCCACGCTGGTGGAAGGTGCTTTGTATGGCCACTCAGCTTCCTGGTTAGACTGTAAACTCCCTGAGAGCAAGGGCCTGCATGCCTTTCTGCCGTGTATCCACACACCCCACACAGTGCACTCTGCTCGCCCATGAGGCCAGGACATGCCTCTTGGGCACTGGGGCTGGGCAGCTCTCCCAAACATTAGTGAGCACGGGGTCAGTGGGAGCTTAGGTGGCAGATTTCTGGGCAGCCCTAGGCCCCGAGTCCCTGATTTAGTAGTTGGGGTGGCTGAGCACTCTCGATCCTATTGAAGCTTCTGGGTGGTCTCTGGTTCCTGTGGAAAAGCTACGCCATCAGGACACCACCCTTCCTTATGAAAGCAAATCCCCCAGACTGAGGGAGGGAGCTCCAGGAGCACCCCACAGCTCTAGAGGGGCCCAGGGCAGCTGTGATTCCCTGTCCCCTGGGGTCCTCAGAGCCCTCCTCTGAGCTACCCCCAATCATGGGAACCTCCTCTCCCCTCACCCATACAGCCAGGTTGGATCAGAACATTCAAGAAGAGTTATAGCAAAGCTTATGTGAGGACAAACAGGCCCAAGAGGTAACTCACGAGAGCAGAGCACTGTCAGGTCTTGAGCTCCAGTGTTCCAATCCAGGAACTCCAGGAACGCAGGTCTTTCCTGGATGGAAGTCCCCAAACCCCATCACAATCCTTGGCTGCCCAGCTCAGCATGTCTGGTTGCCTTTCCTTCCAGTTCTGGGCTCCACCTTATTGCTGGCCGGTCTGGAGCCATCTTCACAGACGAGCCACAAGGTGCCTGGTCACACTTTCTGCAGCCACTCAGCCCTGCGACCAGGTTGTGGCCGATTTGCTGGATGGTGGTGACTGACACACACCCCCTCCTCAGCCCACCTCAGTGTCCAATCCACTCCTGTCCCAGGTACAAGCCTGGATGGTCAGTCACCCAGCCTCCACATAGGCCCTTCAGATTCCAAAAGGCTGGCCAGTGTTTCTGCAGGCTCTGTATTTGGTCTTCCGGGCTTTGCAGATCCCACCTGAGGGGCCCAGCTTACAGGCAACTGGCCCTCGACATCCTTCAACTATGTGCTCCAAGCCATTCACCTTCACAGCGCCCACATCCAAGCCTCAGGACATGCTGCCACCCTCCTGAGCCCCCTGGGAAGGTCACCCTGAACACAACCTGACAGCCACACCACAAGCGTTCAAGGCCACAGTAATCAAAGAAGGGGTCATTCCAGCATGCAGCCCAGCACATGGGCTGTGGGAAACCGGCTGCCCACATGTGAGCTGACGGGGCCCACTCTACCATGCAAAGCTTGGCAGGCTCATTCATCCTAGTCTCCAAATTCCCCTGCATTTACCTGTGACTGGTTTATAACCTTGGAGATGTAGTTTTTACAATTTAATCTCCTGATAGTCCCAGACGATTTAAAGATGTGCTATTTGCTTAGATCCCACCTGGCTCTCCTTAGTGGGAGGGGGAGGCAGGAACAAGTTACTGCCTGATTGCAGGACAATTAGTGCTCACCTGTTGCATATTCTGTCAGGGGACTATGGTGATTGATGAGGACAGAGTGGGAAGAGTTGAGCATCAGGAAGTTCTCCAGTGACAGTGTTCCATATCTGAGGAGGGAAGTATTCTGTCCCTGAGGCAGTGACAATACAGGACTTTATGATCCCACACAAATTAGCAGTTGCCTACTGGCCCTAACAGCAGGCACAGGGGTCAATTCCTCCAGTTCCAGGGAGAGCTGCCTCTGGTTTTGAGTCCAGGCTTGCATGAACTATGGGACCTAGGCCTTAGTGGTGCCAAATTCTGTCATTTGTATTAAAAAATAAGTGTATGTTTGCAGGGTTATAAATGACAACACTCATCTTGCAAGAAGTCAGACACAGCCAGGATTTGAGTCCTGGCACCAAACTAAGTGCTCAGTAAATGTTTGCTGAATGAATAAATCATGAGGCAGAATTTGGACAAGCCTATATAGTTAGAGGTTAGGAGCCTCAAGTTTGAGGTAGAAAGAATGGATTGGAGTCTTGTGTTTTCTTAGGATAGTTACATGGTTGAGAGAATATTACCTACCTCATAAGAGAGTTGGAAGGTTCAAATGTGCTCACACATACCACATGCTTGGCCCAAGTCCTGGCACTTGGGCAGCTGCGTGCTGAGTGATAACTGTCATTTCAAGTGTGGTGGGAGTGGGGCCCACGGCCCACTGAGATGCGAAGGCCTGGCCACTGCATGTGGTGGGGCGGGCAGGAAGGGTTGGATCTAGGCTCAGCTGGGGCCCAGACAGCTCAGACATCCCTGCATAGTCTGCTCCCCTGCCCCAGCCTGCTGAGATTTAGGTTTGCAGGATGTGCAGGGAATGAAGCAGGAGGTACAGACTTTTCATTTCAGTCTGTGAGGCATGGGTCAGGACACTGAGCAGGAAGCCCTGAGGCTGAGGCCCAAGGCCAGCTCTGCAACAGAGAAGGGGGCTTTGGAGGCCATTCTCTGGTTCTTCATTATGTTCTCCAGTGAACTGAGGGGTTCAGACAAGGAACACTTGGAAGGTCCCCAGCTGATTAATACTTAGACCCTGCAAGAAGGGGGAGAGAGCTGATATTTATTGCAACTCCTAAAACTCAACACTTCACAATAATTAACGTCCAGACACTCATTCCTGCCCTTGTTTTATAGGGTTATCGGGTGGGTGCAAATCCTTACCAGCGTCTCATAAATGAAGGAACAGGTTCAGAGAGCTCAGGACATGGCCAAGGTTACATGGTGAAGAGCTGAGATTGACTCGGTTCCATCTGCCTGCAAAGCCAAGTGTGCTCTCCCTCAGTCAGTCAGCTTCAGCTGCCTTTCTCCCTCCACAGCCCAGGTGCGTTAGCTTTGGACTTTAGCGAGTACCTTTCACTTCTTAATTACCTGAAGCCCTGCCCAATACTCATATAAGTCCGAGGAGGGAAGGGCCATGGGGCAAGGACAAGAAACATGAAAGGGACAGGAATTTACCTGTTTGGCATCTCTAGGCTGGAGAGGGCACACCTGTGGTCCCAAGTGTGACCAGGCCCACTTTTGGGCAGTTCAGCAGGTTCGGGGCTGGCTGTCCAACCTTCTAGTGAACAGGGGGCCCAGCCTGAGCTCCCTGCCAGCTCTGAGGCCAGTGTCACCCCACACCATCTCCAGGTTGCCTGGCTGAGGTCACCTGTCCAGCCTCCTTCAGGAAACCTTCTCTGTCCCAGTGACACTCCCTGTCCCACTACATCCATTCACCCATTAGACACTGATTAAGCACCTGCACAAAGCTGGCCGCTCTACAGGCCTGGCGTGGGGGTCGGATAGAAATGGGCACAGAGATGACTAAGACACAGACTTCACCCTCCCCATGCCCGGGAGGGTACATTCTGCAGATTTGGATTCAATCAGCTGTGGGTGTGGCCTAGGCATCTGAGTTTTTAGCAAACTGTGCAGGTAACTGAAAAGACACATCCAGGTGAGAACCTTTGGTCTTGTGGATATTCTGGCCCCCAGCACTGCATTCTTTGGACTGTTACCATCCCCTGAGAACGTGGCCTGTCTCTCACTAGTAGGCTCTTCTAGGCCCCAAGTCAGAAAAGTCTGTATAAATCCTACTTCTGCAACTTGCTACTTGTGCATCCTTGTAAAATACCCATGCTGTCTGAGGCTCAGTTTTCCAGCTTTAAGGAGATAATAATGGTGCCTTCTTGTCCTTAAGATTAGCTGTGATACTGTGTGTAAAGCAAGTTGCTTGGTACAGACAAATGCACAATAAATGTGTGCTATTAATTGTATTACTGCACTCTGATGGACAGAAATATTTCCCTGGGGTGTTGCCAGAACCCCCACTTCTGAAGCCTGTCTCCGAGGCGGCCCTGGACACTGGGAGGCCTGTGGTGCCCTCCACCCGGGCTCTGGCTGGACCTGCCTGAGTTTTCCCCTCGGATCCTGCCGCCTGCACCCCAAACGACATACTAGCTGGGTGTACCTAACCCTTCATCTACCCAGAGTGATCAAACTTCCAACCACACCTCTCTGCGCGGCCTGCCCCCAAATTTCGGGGAAACGGGTGGGCGGGGCAAGTTTGCCAGCCAGAGCTACGAGGGCAGAGGCGGGCCCTGGTCGGCCCAGCCTCTTCCTGACCAAGGTCGTGCGCTCCTGCTCCGCCTGCCGGGGCTGCGAAGGGGCCTGGAGGCCTGGCGGGGAAGATCTTTCCGGCCGCGCCTGGACCTCCCCTGAAACCGGCCGGCTAGATCTGCGGGGCACTCAGGACCCGTGGACTCTGCGGGTCCGCAGGGGGCGCGCAGAGCTGCATCCCCACGTCGGGCGCCGGCACTCCACAGCCCCGCCCCCGGAGCCCCCGGCCCTGCCCACCCCGCTTGGCGCACGCGGCTTGCTTCCCCGCGGAAGGAAGGAGTTCGCGGGTTGGGACCCGGGACCCCGGTTCTCTGCCACGGGGCGCACGTGGCTTGATCCCAGCGGCCGCAGTCGCCTGCAGACCTGTGGCGGTGCCAGCCTCCGGGCGGCGACAGCTCAGGTGCAAGCCGGCACTACCGAGGCGCGGGTCCCCGGACAGAGCGCAATCCACTGCCCCGTGGCGACCCTGGAGGAGGTCACTTACCTTTCGGGCTAGCTGCTCAGAGCAGCGGCGGCGGCTGAAGATCCACAGCGAGGGCGGTGGCTCATGCCCGAGGCTCCTCCTCTCTCTGCGCCCCGCCTGCCCGCCCGCGGGGACGGACTTTCGGTGGGGAGGTGACCACCGCCTGCCTGTGGCTGCTTATCCTGCTCGGCCACCCCCTCCCCCACCCCGCCCCGGGTGGCAGTCGGGAAGCTGCAGGTCCTGTAGCTCTGGCGACGGCGGCTACCGATAATCTTCCGTCCTGGCCCGAGGTTCGCAGACAGCCCTACTCCTTCCTGATATGTATGTGCCCCCGCCCCGTCTCCCACCCCGGTTAGAGTGCGGAACCCTAACCAGGACAAGGAGGACATGAAGGCCAGAGTGACTTCTGAATCTTGCTTTCTTAACATGAGGAACACCCCAAACCCACATATATTTAATGACCAAGGGTAGGGACAGGCCAAATTGCCCAGATGCTAAGAGGCCAAGGCCTTGGGTGGGGTCCTTTTTCTTTCTGTCCTGCAATGGAAGCAGGCAGCAGAGACCCTCTCCGGCAAGGTTGCATTCAGGCTTCTGTGGCCCTGCCACATATCTGTCCCTTGTCCACCTATAGGGTGGACCTTTGACCCTTCCCAATAGCCCCCAGGTTTCAAGGCCTGAGAGCAGACAGAAGGCCTTTGGGCCTCCTGGAGCTGCTGGGGACACTGGGGCTTGCCTCCATGTCTACACTTCCTGGGCTCCAGAACAACCCCTGCTCTGAGAAAGGTGGCCCCAGCACTGCCTGCTGCTTTTCCTCCTCTGTGTGGATGGCATCAGAACACAGCAGTGAAGTAGGCTTATGTGAGACTATCTTTTGGGTACCTTTCTAGAGGTGTGTATGTGCTCATCTGAAGCCCTTTCTCACCTGTGACCTCACAACACATACTGCTGACACCCAATCCCCTCCCTTTACCAGTGAGGTCATGGGGACTGATACTTAAGTAGGGTACTGTTGGCACCAATGTCATTCATCTCCTGGGAGGCTGACTGAGGGTTTCTTGACCTCTAGAACTCTGTTAAGAATATTCCTGGAGACATATTCCTGAGGACCAACACCTGATAAGGAACTTCAAATTACTCCAGGAGGCCAACTTGTGCTGGGGAGATAAGCCCTAGGAGTGACTATCTGAATCCTTTGGCCAGAGGCAGGCAGCTGGGCCTTGAGGATGGTCCCACAGCTAGACCCCAAAGAGCACAATGGGGATGAAGAGACACCTCCAGGTGGTGGCAATGCTGTTGTGAGAGGCCTCTCCCCTGCTCCACCCTGCTAAGAACCCTCTAGGAGCACCCTGGGTTCTGTCCCATGTATAGGTTTCCTTCTGACTAAAAGATCCTTCCTCCCCAGCATTCTGTTCTGCCACGCCCCTAGGCAATACCCTCTCTGAGCTTCTTCCATTCAACATTCAGGGAGTCCCACCATGCTATGCAATGTTCTGGGTGTTGACACAGGTGCCAATGCCTGGTCCCTGCCCTTGGATATTTAGTTGCTTCTGCAATGGGTTGTAAACTGGGAAGACAGGAACCAATTCCTAATTCCATACACAGTAGGTGCTCTTTAAGTATCTGTTCTGCCTGATGGGGATCTCTGAGCATCCTTCTTTTGACTACAGTGGGCAGCCCAAGGAGATTGAGCTTGAGCAATGGAGGGGCTGACAGGTCTTCCAGCATCCTGGGAAGGGCCATTTGATCCATCCAGCATCCTTCTAAAGAAAGGTGGGCCTCTTTGAGGGGCTTCCCATGAGTTGGAGAGAGAGAGATAAGGCTGGCCTGGCAGATGTCTACAAAAGGAAAAATGACCTAAGAGGAGTTTGAGCTTCTGCAAGAGAAAATGGAGAGGCCTGGAAGGCATGGGGATGTGGGAGGTAAATGCCCAGCTCAAGCACCTAAGTGGGCAGAGCACCACCCAGACTGCTGGTTGTTGGTGTTTTGCTTTGTCTGGGCTGGGAGTGCCTTGAGCAGAAAGGTGTCTCACCTGGCAGGGGGGCTGGTGGGGTGAGTGCTCAGTAAACATTCCTGAACACTTTTGAGGCCAAGCTCCCTAGCAGATGAGCTATTTCCTGACCCAGGAGGGAGGATGGTGCATGGACATGGGGCACTTCCCCTGTGCCAGAACTTTGTCCACAGCCAGGCCGAGGGCAAAGCAGGCAGAGCCATCCTGCCTTCAGGACATTTGGCAGATCAGGGTGCTCCTCTGCCCAAAACCCTCCCCTGGCTCCCTAACCCCACCCCCAATCCTGCCCTGCTGGCTGGTCCCCTCCCTTTCTTTAACTAGATCTGACAAGGTGCTCAGGCAGGCCTGGGCCCAAGCCGTTGGTCTGCCTGAACCTTGGGCCCTCCCTCCCTCCTTCAGATCCTTACTGAAATAGCCTCGTCTCTGTGGTACCCATCTATCTGATCATCCCCCATCCTTCGTCCACCTACTGTGCCCTATTCCTTTCTTTCTTTTTTTACATTGTCTTTATTTCCTTCTAACACACTGTAAAACACACTTCCTGTTTGTTGTTTATTACCTATCTGCTCCCACAGAAATGTGGGCCCCCCCCAGGGCAGGGAGTTTCACCTGCCTCACTCCCTGGATGTGCCTAGAGCATGCCTGGCATGCAGTTGGTGCTCAGTACATAGTTGTTGAATGGATGTGCCCTACTCTCCCCCTTCTTTATTTCCTTCAGCATCTCTGGATAGCTTTTCCTGTGGCTCCTCTGGCCCCAAACCTCCCACCTCTTCCCTGCTGCCCCAGAGCTAGTGCGGTGCTGGTACAGAGGAGTGCTCCATATACACACTGATGGATGTCTGAACCTGGAGCTACTGCATATTCTCTTTACAGAGCCCCTTGGTGCCCGCCTTCTGAGATTGCCCTTTTCCATGAAGACAAGGCCGGCCCTTTGGCTAAGAGGACTAGAGCATCCAGGAAGAGAATCTATATTCATCTCCTACTTGGGCCAGAGAGGAGAGACGTGTTCAATTTCAGCTTCCTGGATTCATCCAGCATTTATAGGCTGGGACAGAGTACATCCATTTCATGAAATAAATACTCTCATTGACTATTAAAATGAGATGGTCACAAGAAGCCATATTCTCTGACAGCCCTGGTGGGGAGTCAGGCCACCTGGATTTAGTCCTGCTGGGGCTGGGGCTGGGCCCAGAAAGTGGGCTCCAGAAAAGGTGCTCCTCACCCTTGCTCTCCTCCAAGCCTCTGGAGCTGCTCCCCCATGTGAGGGAGGGAGTGTGGTTGCACTTTATGGTGGGAGATCCTGAGGGTGATTCGGGCAAATGGATGAATTGCCTCTGCCACTGTGATGACCCAGCCGGTAAAGCCATGTCAGAACCACCCAGAGCTGATGGGAGTGGTTTGTGAGAGGGAGGCACTGAATGGGGATACAAGCTGGCAAAGCATGCTTGGAAACTTGGATTTGAGCATTCAGGCATGTGGCCAATGTTGTAGAGCATTATAAGGTACAGCGTGTGGGGCACTCGGATCCCGGCCCTGCACCCCAGAGCTTGGTACTGTTCTCTGGCATAAGGCTGCCTCCTTCAGTCCTCTACTGAAACATGATCTTCGCAAGAGGAAAAGCTCTCTGAGTCAGTGGAATGAGAAGCAGTATATCCATAAGAAATTTTACTCTGGCCAGCACAAGAATGTGAAGGGGGTTCTAAAAGCAGGTGCTAAAAGGGAGGGTGGATAAGGGACTGGGGGCGGGGTGAGCAGGAGCTGCCATTTTTCTAAGGAAGCTCCCCAGCACATAGTAGGTACTTAATAAACTTTGTGTAAGATCAAGAGCTCTGGCTTGTGACTAGAACATCAGTGGCCAATGGGAATGTAGGAAGCTGGCCCAGTAGCTCCATAGGGCATTTAGTGAGCCCAGGAGCAGGTCCTTGTCTATGGTAGCATTGCATTGCCTTTCAGCTGGGGGAGATTGCAAAAGTGCACAACTAGGGAAGTCTGACCTTTAGACCCTTGCTCCAAATGGGGTGCACATGATGGCCTGCAGGGTGGGGGGTGGGGGGTTAGAATTGCAGTCTCAGGCCCACCCCAGACCTCCTGAATCAGAATTGCATTTACAAGACCTGCTGGAGACTGTGTGCACATTGAAGCTTGAGAAGCACTGGTCTGCAGTTCAAAAGAGACCACCTGAACACGTGGGCCAAGGCAGATGGTCAGAAACCTTTTGTGGACCACTTCCAACCTCAGTAGGTGGCACTTTAACGTTGTGCCCTGAGCTTTCTCAAAGGTCCTTGTGAGCCAAATAGACTGATACAATCTGCTTTTTTATAAAAACGGAGTGACTCTGTCCTTCACAACACTCAGTGCCTATTATACAAAGCTTCAAGAGAAAAATGTGTAAAACTAATATCACTCCTTTCTAAATTCTTATTTCTTTTTTTACCATGGTGACTAGGATACTCACCCATATTCATGGCTATATTATCCTTATTATTTTCCCCTAGTCCATGATTTCTGTGTCTAGTTTACAATTAGCTTTATTAAGCTTTTCATTGTAAGCTGTCTTAAGCTGATTTTGGAAAAAGCCAATTGTGTAAGCAAAGTAATTAGGAAGCATCTGTGTGCTGACCCCTGTCTTTCTCCTTAGTGGCCATCACCCTTTCATGGCAAAGGGAGGGGCATGGCTCATGCTTTCCTGGATTTCTGAGAGGCAAGGGGTTGGGACAAGGATGTGTCATTGCACTTCTGCTGCGAGAAACTGAGAAAAGAAACCCCAACCATCTAAGGGTCCCCTGAAGGGAAATTATGACAGGATACTCACATTGAGACCCTGTCTGCTTCCTCTTGGCCCATCAGTACCCACCTCACCTGATGGGGGGGCAGGGTACTGTCCTCCATGCCAGGGAACTCTCCGCAGCCAGGGGCAGGGGCCATGTTCACCAGGGGCCCAGCTGCCATCTCCCCATGTACTGCTCCTTCTGTCATGGGCCCCCCAGGCTGGGTGGCTGACACTCAAGTGGGTGGCTAGGAGAGTCAGTTGAAGCAGCTTAAGGGTAGCAAGGTCAGAGCCCACCCCAGCAGAGATGGGACCACTGGCCTCAGGGTCAACTGCAAACATTCCATGGTCAGCAGCTGAGATATGCCCTCCCTCCAGATCTGGAGATGTATTTTAACATGCTCAGTTCTGTTTCCTGGGTCTGGGCTTCTAAGGAGAGGGACATGACATTTTTTGAAGTTCCACTGTAGAGAAAATGAAAGTTCCTATGGGCAGGATTCTCACCTGACCCTGGTTGGCTTGCTCACTGCACATGTGTTGGCAATATGTTATTATAGAGTCTATATAAAGAGCTCTGCCCAGGGCTCTGGGCTACCCAGCTGCAGGGGAGTAGAGGCTGGAGTAGTGGCAGCACCCAGGACAGAAACAGATGGTTTGCGGGGCAGAGAGGCCCAGAGGCAGAGACCTGCTTGCTGCATGTGGACTTATCCTGAGGCACCCGGTATTCTAGAGCTTGACTTACCACCATGGGAATAAAGCCGGGTATAAACCCTTTCAAACCAAGAACTTTCCACTGTCATTTTTTGGTCTCACTGAATCAAGAGTGAACTTGCCGGGGGCTGAAACCCATTGGCCAATAAGATCAGTAGGAAATAAGATCAGTTATTGGCCAATGGGTTTCAGCCCCGGGCAAGTTTGCTATGGATTCAATATGACCAAAGAAATTGACAGCAAAACGTTCTTTGGGGTGAAAGGGTTTATTACCCAGCTTGTTCTCCCAGCAGTAGGTTGAGCACTAGCGTCTCTGCCTTTGCCCAGAGCACTGGGCCAGCTCTCTATATAGCACAATAATAGCTTATGGCCTAAAGGTGTGGAAGTGGTAGCCTAGCAACAGGCCAGTTACATCATCAGGTGGTTTTAAGTTCAGTGAGGATCCTGGACATAGGAACCCCAACTTCCCCATACACCGACCTTGAGGCAAGCACTGTGCCACATTTAAATCACCCTGCAAGGTGAATGGGATCAGCCTCATTTTTCAGATGAGGAAAGTGCCTTGCTTAGCATCATGAAGCAAGGAAATGGCAGAAATGGGATTTGAACCAGGTCTGAATGACTCCCAGGTCTTTCTGCTACCTCTGCACCACTAGGTAGAAGGGTCCTGGGGGCAGTGGCCAACACACCTTGGTTACCCCCTGACGTACCAGTGAGTTTCAGCCCCAAGCAAATTTACTATGGATTCAGTGAGATCGAGAAATGACAATGGAATGTTCTTGGGGGTCAAAGGATTTATTACCCAGCTTGTTCTCCTGGTGATATGTCAAGCACTAGAATCACATCTGCATTCAACAATCTACAGGTCTGTAATCCTCCCAGTCTCTGTCTTCCCTCAGAGCATTGGGTAGAGATCTTTATATAGTGATTCAGCCAATAATAGCTTATTGTGTACAAGTGTGGAAGCAATAGCCTAGCAGTAGGCCAATTACATCACATAGTTTATGGTCAGGTGAGGATCCTAGCCAAAGGAACTTCCATTTTACCCACATCCTCCTTAGTGCCAAGGACTGGGACCAGGTGAGGTGAGGGCAGAGCAGGGGCATCCTGTGTATGAACAGAGGGAACATGAATGGGGTTTGGGGCCTCTCTCCAAAATTCTCCTCACCATGCACCACTGCCTCAGTAAGTAAGATCCCACCTACCACCCATAGCCTCTCAGATGGGTGACAGCTCCACAGGGCTGAGATTTGCACAGCCTGAAAGGAGACCTGTAGAACACCAGTGTGGAAAAAGTGAAGGTTCCTATGGCCAGGATCCTCACCTGAACCTAAACTACTTGGTGATGTAACTGACCTACTGCTAGGCTACTGCTTCCATACCTGTAGGCAATTAGGTATTGACTGAGTCACTATATAAAGAGCTCTGCCCAGTGCTCTAGGTGGAGGTAAAGATGAAGGAAGATTACAGGCCTACAGACTGTTGGATGCAGATGTAATTCTAGTGCTTGACATATCACCAGGAGAACAAGCTGGGTAATAAATCCTTTGACCCCCAAGAATGTTCCATTGTCATTCCTTGATCTCACTGAATACATAGTGAACTTGCCTGGGGCTGAAACCCATTTGAAAGACAATTGGCAACATCTGCAGGATTCATTGTTGACCAAGGAAAAAGACAGGTTGCCCGTTATAGGAGGGGTCCTCCAGTGAGCTGCCCCTATGAATGCAGAGACAGTCTATTGTCCAATAATGGGTATGTGGTCTGAGGTGGCTTGCCTCCTAGAGGGCTGGGCCCCACCCCAGAACTGGAGGCAGGTGGAGGTGATACCAGAGGCAGTAGGGGTGGCCCTTGGCATAGTCAGTAGGTCCTTTGAGAAACAGAGTGCCCGTGAAGCAGTGGGGAATGTGGGTTGGCTGCTTCTCACAGTATTAAAACGTCTACAGATGAGAAGAACATGCTTCTGAAAGAGATACAAAAAATTGAAGCACGAGAATGCGAGCTGTGAACTGCTGTGGATTCACTGAAGAATGAAATGGCATTGATATGAGAGGAAGCAGCACAAGAACGCTGGCTGTGAGGTGCTGTTGAGGAGGTAAAAAATTTGTTGGTGACTGAAATGGCATCAGTACAAGGTACTGTGGAAGAGGTAAAGGCCATGAAGGAAAAGGACAAACCCATGCAGACCACAAGAAGAGGCAGTGTGAGGTCCAGTGAAGGAGGTAGAAGATCCCTTACAGAATGAGACAGCAGCGCTGCCAGGTGCTCTGAGAGGCAAAGGCCATAGAGGAAAAGGACATATTCCTGAGGGAAGCACAGGAACAGGCAGCATGAGAACGCCAGCTGTGAGGCATTGAGGTGAAGGTAAGAGACCTTCTGAAGACTGAGCTAGTATTGCTTCGAGGCACTGTAGAAAAGGTAAAGGATGTAGCAGAGGAGGCACTCTGGGAGTGGGGAGAAAGGCGCCATCAGCCCAGGAAATCAAGGAGCTGGGGAAGGATGAAGGGGCACTGACTCCTCTACTGAAAGCACACCCAGTGGTTGTAAAAAAAATGAAGACACGGCAACCAAGCGTTCCCCCAGGAGAGGTTGCAGCCCCCTCCCCAGGTGGTGGAGCACTCTATGCTCCACCCATATACTCAGGCTGAGCTGGTAGATTTGGGCTCCCTGTTTTGGCAGAAGCCCTCGGAGTCAGTATCAGCTTGGCTCCTGCGTCTGTGGGATTTAGGGGTGGATGGAATTGTTCTGTCTGGATCAGAGATGAGAAAGCTGGCTTCCCTGACAGTGCAGCCTGCCTTGAGGCAGTGATTACA